GTGATATACATTTACTTGATGATACTATTCTGGACTATTGTAAGGCACTAATGAAGTGTGTTAAGAATTTTCATTCACAGGTACACACAGCTCTCCCCAAAGAACCTGATGAGCTGTACCATTCTATCCTGCCTGGAGACTGGGTCCATATAAAAGTCCATCAGTGAAAATCATCACTGGAACCTTGCTGGAAAAGCCCATTCCAGGTACTCTTGACCACCAACACTGCAATGAAGTGTCAAGGACTCCCCACGTGGATTCACTCTGCACACAGTAAGAAAACATCAGCCCCATCAGACCCAGAGTCTCCCCCATTTCAATTTTGTAATCAGCCTCCACAGACTGGTAGTGAGCCTAGCACTTGCCAGCAGGAGAGCACAAGACCAGTAGTGAGCCTACTGGCAAAGAGGATTTGCCACTACAGAGTGAAGAGGATGTGCCCCAACGACACCACTATGCCCTTCGGGACAGGAAAAAGGCCTCTACCTAGTTCCTGGTTCCCAAAGTGGGGCTGATTAGTCGTGACTTGGGTGATTCTCAGTTTTTCCAGTTGGATCATCTTATATGAACTTAAAGACTCACCAGCTAAAAAGAACTTTATAAATCAGACTATGCTTCAAAAAAGGTCAAGAAGATTACTTCCTCCCTGGCAGGTTCATCAAAATGTTTTCCTTCTATCGTTCATGGTTTGTTAATATTGTTTGTTATTTTTTTTGGAATATGCCTAGTGCTTATGCTCATATGTTGCTGCTTAAATTGTGCCGCTAAGCAAATGCAAGATAGCTTGTCAACCTCTATGCAAAGAAACGAAGTATATAACGTGTATGTTGAAATAGCTAACGGTAAAGAAGAAGAGTTAGAATCAAAAGATTAAGGGCTATAAATATTTAGTATGTTGGGCCTACAAGGCCCAAAAGGGGGGGAATGTTGAAGTAGATTTATCCAGGCCTCTAACTTGACTTCAGAGTGAAGAAAAAAAATGCTCTTGCTTCATATTTTAAAATGTTTTAAGATAAGAAAAACCCTTCTGCTTTATTATGTCTTTTACAGTTCTCTGGGAACAAATGTTCTTCCTTTCCTAAAAACAAAAAAAGTTATAATAGTTCTCAAAACAAAATGTGTTGCTGAGCAAGCAACTGTTATGATCTACCTTTGACTCTCTTTTCAAGGATGCTTTGTTTAAATCATGTGTCTGTTTTCACAATTTTAGGTATAAAAAGATATGTTAACTTCTAGAAGGGAGGAGTTCTGTTTAGATCTCCTCCCTAGGATGGTTTGTACAAGCGCCATTAAACTCCGACTGGGTCTTTGAATTCTAATACCAAACACAACGCGAAATCTGATTTCTTCCACAACAGTTTAGGTCTGTAGAATTTACAGAGAAAAATGTTTCAGACCAAGGAACAGATTGCTTAGAAAAAGAATGAACCTGGCATAATTTAGATATGAAGAGAGTAGACTTTATGTCATGTCCTGGCAAAAAGAATAAATGAAAAATCTATGTTTCTATGAATGGCAAACAGCTGAAAGTCCTAATACCTTATAAATCTGGCACAGACCATTTAAAATACAGCCAGGGCCATGTACTCAGCAAAAGCAATATAGTATCACAGTAAAAAAGGGAAATGTTCTCTTTAACACACATTAAGTCTGGCTTGATTTCTTTTGGCTAACTGGGCATCATTAGCATCATGAATTCTTGGAAGCGTTCTTGGAAAAATAGTCTGTTTTTTTTTCTAGACAATTGTGCCTCTTGAGTGTTTATTATCTTCAGGACAGCAACATGCAGCTGGAGCCCTTATATATATGTTTATTTGGAAGATATTAACACTTTAAATTAAATATTGATTAAAGAGACATGTTATAGTGCTTGATGTGTTCTATAGTTTATTAGCACATGTACTGTTTATGCTTTAAGAGAGCATAACATGGGAATGATAAGGAGCTGTTCATTCTTTTTTTTTCAGGGTTGCAGGCACATTCTGATTTCCCAAAACTCCTACTAGTAAACAGACAGATGGGTGCCAAAGAAGAAAGTGGGAGTGGAAATTGACCTATATCTCAGTGACAACATGATCCAAAGCCAATTGAGACTCAAACTGACATCATCATGTTTTGGACTTTGCCCATAGTTTCTCCAAGGGGGACAGAAGCACCTAAGATTGTAAGATGAAGGTCTATTAAAAAAATTCTCCATCAGTCAGTAATGTATCATTATGTAATTTTTGTTTGCAGTAGGAGCTGAAGGCCATAGCCATAGTGATGCCTTTTGGCCTTGGTGGTATACAAGTGTGTTGTTGTCCATCCTTTGAACTTGAAGATAACCATGACATGACTGGTTGGTTTGATTTCTGTGAGCACGTGAGTGGATGATCACGGCAATGTGTGCTTTGAATTGTCTATGGCACACTGAGCAAGAAATACTTTGGGTTGCTTGATCAACAGCAGACGTGCTGCTGTTGCAAGATTTACGCTGTTTGTGCTTCTGAGGAACTTCTGTGCCTCAGCAGTTCTCCTGCACTCATAGATGGTAGCTCCAGTATGAATGAGGCTTCACCAGGTGGAACGATCACAAGCAAGATCTTCCCAAGACTTCAGGTCAATGCTGAAACATTTCAAGGGTGACTTGAGGGAGACCATGAAATGTTTCTTCTGGCCTCCTTGAGAGTACTTTCCTTCCTTTAGCTTGCTGTAGAAGATCTTCTTTGGCAGTCGCTCATCTGACATCCTGGTGACATGACCTGCCCATCTTATCTGTGATTTCATCAACAGAATGTGGATGCTTGGAATGCCTGCCCATGTGAGAAGCTCAGTGTCTGGGACCTTGTCTTGCCATCTTATCCTCATCAGTTTCCTTAGACAGCCCATGTGAAAGTTGTTCAGCTTCATAGCACAACATCTGTACATTGTCCAGGTTTCACATGCATACATTAGGACTGGCAACACAATGGCTTTGTAGACCTTCAGCTTTGTTGATTGATGTCTCTGTGCTCCCACACATTTGCATGTAGTCTGCTGAAGGCCACACTTGCTTTAGTAATTCTGGTGTTGGTTTCATCATCAATGTGAACTACATGTGACAGAGTAGTGCTGAGATAGGTGAACTTGTCGACTTCCTGGAGGGTTTGGCCATTCATTGTAATGGTAGGCTCAGACTTTCCTGGTGCAGGCTGGTGCATTGCTTCTGTCTTCTTAGTGTTGATTGTGAGACCAAAGTTGTCACAGACAAAAGAGAAATGGTCCATACTCTGTTGCATGTCAGTCTCAGATTTGGCATTCAGGGAACAGCCTGTCTATGGTCACCACGTCTTTTTCTGAAGCCACACTGACTCTTAGGCAGAAGACCTTGTTCTATGTGTTACACAAGGTGATTCAGGAGAATTCTGGTGAGGATTTTGCTGGCTACTTACAGCAAGGAGATGCCCCAGTGGTTACTGCAGGATTCTCTACTGCCTTTCTGCTTGTACAAATGGATGATAGATACATCCTTGTACTCCTGTGTTATAGTTCCTTGAGCCCACATTGACTGGAAGAGTTCGGTCAGTTTCAGAGCCATGTGTGAGCCTCTGGCCTTGTAGACCTCTGCTGGTATAGCATCTGCTTCAGGTGCTTTGCTATTTCACAGCAGGTTAATTGATTTCACATTCTCAGTCAACATTGGAGGATGAGCAAGAAATATGGTAATGTCTACCTGAGGCAGTCAATCAATTGCCTCCTTACTAATAGGTGACTGTTGATTGAGGATGTTGTTGAAGTGTTCTGCCCATCTTTGCAGTATCTTTCCTTTGTCAATGAGCAGTGTGTACAACACTCAGTATTGGAGATGTTCCTGATGACTGTGGCCTGTAGATTGTCCTCAGAGCATTGTAGAAGTTCTTCATATCACTCCTGCTTGCATAAGACTAAATCTCATCTTCCGTGCTGCTCAACCATTAGTTTTGCACCTCTCTGAGTTTGTGTTGGACAGGCCTCTTGATGTTGTTGAAGGCTGCCTTCTTACCTGTTGAAGTGATGTATTCTAAACAGGCCTTATGGAGCCAATGTTTCTCATTCAGTAGTCAGTATCACATTATGTCAGTATCTTTTTCACCAAACCAATATTGATATTTATATGTGGTGGGACCAAGGATATTGGATGCAGCTGAATATACAGAGTCTCTGAAGGATGCCTACTTTTTCTTAATGTTATTGGAGTTTACATCAATTGTTACTAGGTGGCTGCACAGTTCTTCAACAATGCCTTTTTCACATTATGTTTCATTTTGGAGGCATTGAGCTTTTTGGGTGGTTTCTGCCTTGTGGTCATCTACTAGGATGCATCCAGATACACATCTTGGAGCCTATGAGCTTGTGGTCAGTCCAGTATTCTGCACTTCTCATGGCCTTTTTCACTCGGACATCCTGTCTGCCTCTTCTGATGATGCCAGTGTTTGGAGTGCAGGTGCATTCAAGACATCTTGTTGTGGTTTGTCAGGTGGAAGACTGTGTTGGTGATGAAGAGGTCATATTTTGGTGTATTTCCTCAGGAGGAGGAGCCTGTTGCTGTTGTATTTCCCAAGGCCTTTTTTCCAATGACACCTGGCCATGCCTGGAGATCTGTGCCAAGTCTAGCATTAAAGCTTGTCTGCCTTCAGCACTTCTGCGATAAGAGACTCCAGGTCTTCATAAAATTTGCCCATAATCACACCTGTGTTAGTTATGGAGGGTGCATAAGCATTGATTATAGTTGTATTTTTTTGCCCAGACAGTGGGAGTTTCATTAGCATGAGTCTGTCATTCACTCCCTTTGGGAGATTTGCAAGCTTTCTGATTAGCTGTGCTTACATGACAAACCCAACACCAGCTTCACATTGCTCTTAATTACTACAGCCATTCCAGAAGAAGGTGTAGTCAGCTCCTTTTTCAGTGAGTTGTCCTTCTTCAGCTAGGCGTGTTTCACTCAGGGCCTCTATCTGAATGTTGAACCAGTTCTCTACCAGAGCTGTTCTTCTCTCTGGTCTATCTGCTGTTGCACAGTTCATTAGCATGCACACATTTGAAGCACTGATGGTGAGTGGTGTCACCTTTGTCTTTTGTAATCTTTTTATATGATTTTCGATTGCTATAGTGGGATCCCCATCATCCACGGTATGCTCCTTGACCAGGGTTAAGATGAAACAGACACTGTTCATGGCACCTTTTCTAGCCCCTTCCTCATGCTATGGAGATGAGCAATGTGATCCTAACTAGGGTTGCTCAGTCACCCAGGGGGCTGCCAAATTCCACTGCTGCTTCAGTCCAGTGAAAATCAACCCTGTGCCCTGAGCCAACTCTGTACAGGTCTTCAGCTACAGCTCCCACACCTGCTGCTTTGCTGCTTTCCCATCGCCAAAGGACTTGAGTATCTCTATGAGGGGGATACAGTTGATGTCATAACTTGTACGTGAGTTGGACTGAAGTGAGGGAAAGTTGTGCAGTTACCCTCACTCTCTTGTCCAGGTCTGTCTGAATCTAGTG